GAGCAGGGGGAAGAGGAGGAAGTTGGCTCCAAAGATAAACTTGTCAAAAGCCTGCACTACAATACTAATTCCTCTCTACCTGTTTGTGAATGTCAGCTGGGAGCAAGCACTGAAAAGATTTGGAGGAAAAAAGCAAAGGGTTGAGAAGGGGGGAGAGAAAAGGGGGGGCGAAGAAAAACTAGAGAGCAATTCAAACAAAAATGAAATCACACACACACACACACACACACACACACACACACTCTCGGACACACAAAGAGAGGGAAAAAACGTTCCCCCCAACTCAGGTCCTAACAACACACTTCTTTATCAGAGGTTCATTGTCAATCAATTAGCCGAGGCAGCGGGGGTCTGTGAGGTGGGGGCGTCTGGGGGAACAATGGGCAGCCCTGTTGTATTACTATTTAATCACTTTTGCTAAATAAATAGAGCAGCCCCGAGGTGCTGTCATGTCAAGGGAATTTATAACAAAAAAAAACTTCATTTTTCATTGGTCATTCCTTTTTCTCCCTCAGGACAAGAGAGGGTTATTACAGTAGCCTAAAGTCCCATCTTTGTGTTTCTTGCCTTTGATTCCCACTCGGACCCTGCCACTTTCTGGCACTAATTTGTCAGGCTGAACAAAGAGAGGATTTGTACCTCCTGTAAGGTCTCAATTAGGAATGGCTTCTGCTATATTATGTGCCATTCAGAGAGGACACAATGCCGGTAATTACAGGAATTTGCACTAAATGGCTGAAGAATTCACAGCAAAACTTCCCCCACCCTCCCCACCTTGGGCTTACCCCTCCCAAGGGCTGGGGGGGAAAAAAGGAAAGCAAAAAGCTCTTAAAGCCAGAGAGACGTAATTACCAACAGCAGCCCCAAGAGGTTAAACAGCAGCTGAAGGAGTAAAACCACAAAAACTGACAGTGTGGAAATGGTGGCGGGATCCGCGAGGCTCACTCTCTTTCTTGCTGTCTCTCCGGTGTGACTTCAGTTCAGAATCCGGAACATGGTTCCACAGTGGGCCATCCAATTTCACTTCCAGATTACAAAGCAGTCACAGAAGGAATGCTTTAAAAGGCGAGCTTTGCATCTCCCTGTTACAACTGTAAACAAGGCCCTGGGCCCTTTTACCATAGTACTGGACTCAATTGCTAGGTTTCTTGATTGCTGGAAAATTACAGGAAAAATATCTGTGTGTACTAGTGCCAAGAAAACCATGTTATCTGTTGAGGGGAAATAGGTATGTATACATGTCGAATTCCTGAAGAAAACAGGGCTGCTGCCTTATAGCCTAATTTATGCAGCTATCTGTGAACAACCTAACTTAGGACCACTTACAGGTGCATACTTGATAAATATTTTAATAAGCCGCATAATCATTTGTTTTAACATTAATATTTTAATAGCACAGATTCCCCATGGCCAAACAATTCTGAATCCCAACCAGTAACTGCACTAAAGACACGGACCTCATCTCCTGCTACAAGGATGCTTCTGAAAAGCTGTACGGAAGCGCCACCAAATTAATTATTCTTCAACACCACATTCATCACGTGCTCCTCTGCTCAGGAACCTCTGCAGCTCCACGGTCAAGCATTAAGTTCAACCTTTCCAAACTGCCCCATTTCTGTAGGTCAACAATGACTCAATATCTGCAGTGTCCTACAGTTCCGCCCGGTACACCTTTGACAGTTCTCTAACCCCATGGGTGGGCCTGCCTTCTACAGCCCTTGTCACAGTTGCCATTTGGCATTCAGGATGTGATCATCTGATTGATGTCTGTCTTCCCTAGTGGACTGCAGGTTCCAAGAGTGCGGGGACCATGTCTACTTGTAGCATTGACTTGCCCAGGTGCACCCAAGTTTCAGGTGCGTGGTCAGAAACATGGCACACAACAAATGGTAGAATGAATGGAAGAAATTAATTTTCAAAGGCATATATTCAGGGATAGGAAATAGCAGGTGTAAAGGCTGTGGAGGCAGGACTGACCAAGGTAGGTTCCAGAACAGTGAGAAGACCACCGTGGCTGGGCTTCCCAAGCATAGGGCAGCCGTGGAGCTGAGAGGAAGTCATGGAACAAACCACACATAATCAAATACAACTATAAAAAGTTCAAGCACATGCTAAGAAATATACAGTTATCCATAAGCATGCATTTTCAAAACCATAACCTCAGACATTTTTGGATGGCTGTGGTCCATTCTCTCTGCAGGGGCACTTTAAGTTTCAAAGGAGACTATAGAAGATTCTTCACCTACAGAAAGAATTTGGTGCAATAAGGCCAACTGCACTATTTTGTAGGTTTAAAAGCCAACATTTGTGGCTCCCCTGAATAGCAACTGAATGATATCATTAATAAAGAGCTACTCAGTGCAATCTTCCACTGTTAAGGTTTATCCATCGAAAATATTCAAAGGGGGAGATGACTAAGTGGACATAAAAACTTACAGTCTAAAGAGGCTCACTAAAACCATGAAATATTGTGAATTAGCTTCTCCTTAAAATAACAGATATAGCCAAGATTCAACTCAAAACAATTTACTGGACTTTCTGGCCTTCTGGAAGGTAAACATGCTATGTAACCAGCTTTTTCACCAAATGAGTGTTTTTATGAGGATGCAAAGCTAGGGAACACAAGCACTACACGAAGAAGCAGCTGGTTTAGATTAACTGTGTTTTGTAAGAAACATAGATCAATTTTTAAAGTTCCATCTGCTATAATAATCCTTGATATAATGAAGAGCCTCCCAAGTAATTTAAAAAACATTCAGAGCTTTGCTTAACAAGTTTCTGCCTTTTTCTTTTGAGACTCTGCCCCCTACAGGAGATGAAGTATTCCTACCTGAGGTAGGAAGCAAGTATTCCATGCACGGGCAATTAAGGAAAATGAAAAGCAACCGGGTAAAACCACATGTTTCGCAAAAGCCACCAAATGCAGCAGTGTTTCCAATGGAAGAGAGAGCAATGAAATGAAATGAAATTTTCGACTTTGGAATTGGCCACACTACACAAATTAGGATTGATCTCTCCCCACGCCAAATTAAAAACCTGCCTGTGCCCTATTAAATCTCCAAACTGAAACATGAAGGTAAAAGCTGAGTAGAGCAAATGAGTTTTAGACTATATTACCCCTGTCTCCTGGACTCCCTACTACCATCCATCCCAACCTCTGCTCCAACCAGCCAAATTTACTGAACACCGCAGAGGGAGGCACCCTAAAAAATGGAACCCAAAGCAGCTGCCCAAAAGCTCTATCACTGCCCATTATCTAACCATTTTCCTAGTCTTTTCCACTTAGCAACCTTCTCCTGCCTCTTCTACTCATTTTCTCTTGTCTTTTTCCTGATTTCATTTCTCCACTGCAAGAGGCAGGGGCCTGCTGAATGGTATCCTCTACCCTCGTCTCTCCTTCCTGTCTGAGAGCTAGGAATGCTGCTAATGCAGCAAGAGCAGCGCACACCTCCCCGGAGGCAAACTAGGCGACAACCAGGTGACAATCCTTATGTTACACCAGAGGGTTTTCTTCCTTTTACTAGATTTCCCAATTCAGCTGCTCCCACCCCTACCTTGAGAACTAAGCTGAGCTGTTCTCCGATTCCAATAACGCAACAGATTTGTTGACCCTGTCAGCAATCTAAAACCAGAGAAGTGTACCATAATTCCAGAATGTCCACAAAGCAAGCTCCCAATAAATTACTGTTGAATGTCTGGACTTTGAAATATGCTCTACTAATATAATTAGATACCGAAAGATCAACCATTTCTAAAGAACTGAACTAAAACCAGTGTCTCCTTATTTCAAAGCCATTTTCCAAAAGTAGATGGCTGACTGAAGACGAGGACTTCCTGGCCTGCAGATACATATACACACGTACAGCTTCCTCGCTGGCTGGGTGTCTCCAGTCTCTTCAACCCCACCCTGCAAACTTCTGCTTCCTGGCCACTGAGGCCCTCCAGGCAAAGCAGGGACAATTCACTTACCCCTCCCCAGGACCCTCCTTAGGTAAATTATCTTTCAATAGAAAAGGCCACCATCATAACTAACCTAAATTCAAAGCGAAGGTTTTCAGTGGGCCACCATTATTTGGCTTTGCAATACGGGAGCAAGCACAAAATTTAACATTTAAAATTTGATCTTGGTTGGTGGTGAGCTTCTTGTACATTTTAAAACAACATACTTAAATCTCCTATATTTGAATTGAAATATTCCAAATCAGGCTTCCAATTAAAGCTGCCTTTGTGGTACATTTCTTATCACAGATAGGGGGTTTAGCAAAAGTGAAATAATTTTATTTCGTTAATAGTAGGTTTGTAAATTTGGCTTAGTGAGTTTTTCTTCTTTCTAGTTTATTATTGGAGAAGGTGAGAGGAATGGGGAGAACAAAAGAGAAGCAGTAACAGGGTTTTAAGAAATAAGAGATGATTGGCCTTGAACTCCACTTTGTCTCTCTCCCTTGTACAGCGGTTCCAGAAGCCCGAGCTTCCCCAGGCTGCGACACAGGCCCATGGCGACTCAGAGGTCATCTGCTTACTCATCCCCTCCCTGCTCTTACCCTCTTCCACATTTTTATCAAGGCTGACTCCGGAGATTCCACCTTAACAGGATCTGACAAGGTCATGAGCAATGGCAGTAACTGGCCACGGGACCTTTTCCTTGCCTAAGAATGTGAGTTGTCAGCTTTGGGCCTGAATGTCTCTTATGAAATAGACTGTGGCCTCCACATTCGCAGTGACCTTTACCTAAGGAGGCAGAGGGAGCAGAATCACAGCAGACGCAGGAAGCCTAGTCTAGTTAGGCAATGCTCTGGCTCAGTCACTTTGATGCAATGGGGTCTGTCACCTCTGCTTCCATACTTACTTCACCAGCACGGCGTGAGGACAAACAGAGGTTCTAATACAGCTTCTTAAACAAGAAGGAGTTGTGACTGGCCTACTGGGGGGGGCTTTAACTGAATTCCAATTGTGAGAGTCAGACTGTTTAATGAGCTGTAGGCTGAAAATCTGCTTCTTACCTGCACATTTGAAACTCTGAGCTGTGAGTCCTCGTTCCAAAGACAAAGTCGTCAGAATGCTGAGGAAGCTGGTGGTCACGGACTGACGTTTGTTCTTCCTGAGTTCATGCCCCCCCACCTGGTCCTGGGGCTTGCTCCTCAGTGTGACTTGCAGGTTTTGCTCTGAACTCCTCGCCACGTTGGCAGCTGTTTTCAGGGCCTCCATCCACTCCTGAGCCCTCTGCCGCGTCTCAGCACGAAGGCGGAGGACATCCTGGGGGAAAATGACTTGAAAGCAAGAGTCACAGTCGTCCAGGTTGTCCATCTGGACAGCCAGACACACATCCACATTGTAGCTTAGCAGGGGATCCTCATCTAGCTTGCCGGGCTGAAAAGCCATGAGGTAGGCCCTGCTCAGAACAAACGTAAACGCCTTCCAGTTGTTCTGCACAGTCAGCCTGTATAGAGTCCCGGACTTGAGGATGTTCTGGTACTGTCTGGGGCTGTCCGAGACGGGGGACCGCATGAGCAGCTCACTGGATTTCTTCTGTAAACAATGACTCTGTGTACAGTCAAAATGATAACCAAGCGCCGGTGAGTTCGCCAGCTCATCCTGCCGTCCCACGTAGCCAGGCACCACAGCATGCACCACCTCCCAGAGCTTCTGCCCCCAGTCCAAAGCCTCCCACGGGGACTCTGCCTTTAGCTGCAGCTGAGTGTTGTCATACAGAACAGTGTCCACCAGCCTGGCCTCAAGGTTGCCTAGGACAGATATGCTCTGGAAGTGTGAGAGCTGGTACGTGGCATCCAGGTTCTGATTCCCGCTGCTGTCGTGGCTGTAGAAGTTCAAGTTGTAAGGTGAGAGTTCTGCGTAATAGCTCTGCCAGTAGCTGTCATGGTCCTTCCTAACCTCCAGGTAACCCTTCTTCAGAATGTTTGGGAATGCCTGCTTGTGATCTAGAAAGAAAAAAAAACAAAAGAGCAGTGTATTAATTCATTAATATGAACAAATCAAATGGGATGAAAGGCAGGTCCAAACCCAGCTGGTGTGGCTCAGGATCCAGGAGATCGCAGTTCGATTCCTGGTCAGGGCACATGCCCAGGTTGCAGGCTCGATCCCCAGCAGGGGGCGTGCAGGCGGCAGCCAATCAATGACTCTCTCATCATTGATGTTTCTCTCTCTCTCCCTCTCCCTTCCTCTCTCTGAAATCAATAAAGACATATTTTTAAAAAATAAAAATAAAACGCAGGTTCAAGAAACCAAATGGATCAGGAGTCGACACCTTTCTGGTTCAAATTAAACACACGGCAGGTGATAAAATTCCAAGAGAGTACCTAATTGACAAGATGTGATTGGGGAAAATCCCAGGTCTAAAAAATGTAACTAAGGTGGAATAATGAGTACAAGAGTAAGTACTGGGGAGAAAAGCAACGTCCATATGACGGGCAGAGGTCTGTGTAGAAAGCAGAAATACTGGGAAAATCTGACTACCTCTGCCCTGTGGACCCATGAAACAATTACTCTTTGCCAGGATTTCTCGTTTTCTAGGTAACATTCTACAAAGTACCAAATACACGAGACAGAACGTTCCTCCTGCCACCTGGCCTAACTCCCTGCCGATACCGTTCTTTAGGGTGCTGGAGCCAGGAAGAGTGGATGGAAAGGGCAGAGCAGGAGTGTGCCGCTCACAGACTCCTGTTTCTCAAACACTCACATTAATCTTCAAGGCCAGTTTATGAGCCTTCAGTCTTACAGCCAGTCTCCAGACTTGACTCAACTAGTTCTCTCTAGGTCTCTGCTTAGACAGCAATTCTCATCTCTGAGTCTGATTGTGTTTATGCTGTTCCCTCCATATGCAATGCCCCTTCCCACCACTTCCACCAGCTCCCACCAGCTTCTGCTCACCCTTCACTAAACTATCCCTTCTTCCAGCAGGAAGTTTGTCCTGACTTCCCCACCCCACCCCCTTGCCTGCACACACACACCCCTTGGTCAGTATCAGGTACCCCACTATATTACCCCTCTTCGGTGGGCTCTTATTAAGCTGTATTATAATCATTTATTAAAATTTAAATATCAAAACAAATAAAATATATTTTGGAGGGGTTTTTTTTAGTCTTTCCTCCCTACTAAGGGCAGAGGTGAGGTCTGTCTTTTCATCTTTATATCATAGCACAGAATGCAATGCCCAGTAAACAGTAGGTACTTTAAAATAACTTGTTGAATTAGAAATAGAGCTTCTAGCACAATGCCCAGCATATAGTAGGTCTAATTCCCTTCCTTTCCATGCTGTTTCACAAGTTTATCTGGTCATGCCATCTTTATCAATGACTAGCTGCTATATATACACAAGTTTGATACTTTGGTAAAAGGGGACATCACTTGGGAGACTTCCTGATACGTTAATCAGGCATGACAATGACAACCCTGCAAGAGGAAGCAGTCCTCCCTGGCAGAGACTTTTATTTCTGAGATGTTTCTCAACCTCTTCGCTGACACACATTGGAGACAGTCAGAAGCTGAGTCATTCCCTAAAGAAAACAAATCACACTCCCAAAGGGTATGATTTCTGATCTTGGCTGAAGAAAAAGAGAGTAACACAGATCTAGATCTAAAATAGCAAACCAGAAGAGAAAAGGAAAGAAGTGAGGGGGAGAAAAGCCTATTTTACCTGCTTTACATCTCTGGTCCTGACAGTCATTAGTATTTCTGTGGTAACGCAAAAGCCACTAATTTCTTACAACCCACACTAATCCCTTTGTAGAAAGATATAATGGATGCCTATTCTCAGGTTATCTTTCTGCTCTGATAATGCAATCAGGGAGGCAGAGCTGTTAGACCCTGCTGCCGCCTCTCCACTCTCACTGCCATCGAGTGCTGATGACAGTCCCACCTTTTCCATAGTAAACTCCTAACCAGGGCTACTCCATCCCCACCCCTCTGTGACCCAGCGGTTCAGCCATGCAGCCCTGAGTAAAATAAAAACCGCCTCTCTAGCTTTTAGCTGGGAATTCTCCTCTTCTTTTCTTTCCTCCCTGAGAGCTTTTCACAACAGCTACCATGAATTAGAAATTCTACTTTAACTGGGCCGAAAGCGGCAGCAAACCTGACTAAAACCTCACTTCTTTCTAGCTGTGCCAGCTAGGGTGGTAGATGAGAGGTCCTTGGGTGAACTGAACAAGAAGTCCTCTTAGGGAGTCTCAAAAGTTCCCTCACCTTCCTGATGCAGAAGGATTAAAAAATGCACTGTGTTTCAATATTTTTCCCTACCTCCGCTCAGCCCTCTCTCAACAAGAATGTCAAGTGGAGACAGAGAGGGGTGTTAGTCATAGGAAATGGCCCATACTTAAAGGCTGAGCTTGTAATGTAATTTCTTGAAAGAGAAGAATCCAGAAGAAAGCAAATGTGATCAGAAAACTATTTCCCGGGGTGTGTATTTCCCTCTGGAGTGCCTGTTTAGAGCAGACCTTATTAATATTTTGGGTGTGAAGTATTAATTATCTGTGACTGTAGAGAACCGGAGAACTACCATTTCTCTTCAGTCTCTAACAACTGGTACTTCCTATTGGATCTAAAGTTTATTTTTACTATTTTTCTCTATTGACAAAGCAGAAGCTCTATATTTAAACCTAAGCTTCACTAATTTACTATAGTTCAACTTCTGTTTCCCCAGACCACATCATTTCAACTTATTTAATTAACCCACGCACATTACTGTACAGTGTTCAGTTTTACAAATTAATATAATATCTGTCTTAAATAATATCATAAGTGATTCAGAGGGGACTACTGACAAAGATGATAGTGACTGCCTCAATCAAATAAAGAGGATCAAAATGAACTGCTGTGCCTGTAAACTTCATACTGCAACCACAAGGCACTGCAACCACACTCTTTGACTCCCACTGCTTTCCACTTTCTAGCACGAAGGCCTGGCTCGGTTCCCCCTCAGTGAAGACTCTTCTCCTCTCTGGCTTGCCCTGCGGTAGCCCGCGCAGCGCTTTAAGGACAACACTTACTACCAAGGGAAGGGGAAGAGAGCATGTTCCCCATCACACACCTGAACCACTTCTGTACTGCCACTCACCAGAGTTCCCCTTTGGCCATGATTTCCTCTATCTGTTCTCAAAAGTTCCCATTCTCATGGCCACCACCCTCATCAAAAGCTTACACAGCTCCCACTTCCAGTCCTCCTCCTTCCTGGCCAGTTCACACAGCTACCAGGTTAACCTTTCTCAGGTCACTCGACATGCCAGAACCCTTCACAGCTTCCCTGCTGCTACACAGTGAAGTCCAAACTCCTTAGCTTGGCCTTACAAGATTTTATTATGGAAAATTTCAAACACATTCAAGAGCATGTAAAATGAACATCCCATGGCATCCCTCAGCTTCAAAAACCATCCAGTTTCTGCTATTCTTGTTTCATCTCTCCAACCCACTCCAACTCTTACTATTATTATTATTATTATTACTGCAGACATTTTATCATCTGTATTATAAATACTTCAGGGTGTATCTCTACCAAATTAGAATTTAAAAATATATATATGATACCATTTTCACTCCCAACAACATAATTCCTTACCTAATACCCAGTGTGTGTCCAATTTCCCCAGATTACCTCAAAAATTTCTTGAATACAGATGGTTCATTCAAATTAGGAAATTAGGTTCACATGTTGATTTGGTTGCTATGTCTTTTAAGTCTCTTTAAATCTGTAACAGTGTGGTGAATTGGGGGGGCAGGCAGGGTGAAGGGGATCGATAGAGAAAACAAGGGGATATCTGTAATACTTTCAACGATAAAGATAATTTTTTTTTTTAATAGAGAAAAGGTAATTACACATCCTCAGAGGCACAAGGTCTCCTGAGAACTGGCCATCCACCTGCCAGCTCCATTCCATCTTCCATTGTAAAGTGCTGGCCACAGTGGTGCTCACAGGTATTTGTTAAACTTATTCTGGTAGAAATGAACTAGTCTCAAGTACTATCTTTCCTGTGAGCTACTTTGGATGCCTTTCTTTACGGATAAAAAAAAATATCCCATTAGCTCTCCCTTCATAATAAACCTAGGGAAAAAGACATATTATCTGTGTAGGCTCTAATAGAAATAGACCTGTACTACACCTGCTACATATTAGCTACATACATCGACAGGGATCTTTTCCATCTAAGTTCTTTGCTATGGGCAGCAGGAATAGAGCATAAGTCAATACAGTCCCAGACAATTTTACTTCTCAAGTGCGAACCTGACCAGGAGATCACACACCCAACCAGCTTTATAAAAGAGGCTTTCTGCTTTCTGTGACAAGGGTAATCTCTCATCTTAATAGAACTTTTGACTCAGAAAATTCCAAATATCAACTTTCAAACTATGCTCAGTCATTGTCATGGTAAGCTTTCTACTCCTCTAATCTATAGAAATTAAGTATAAAAGAATCTCCTATACTTAGGCCAACAGACTTTAATATAAATGGCATGTCATTACTATGTCTTGGGTAACATACAGAATCACAGAAACTTAGAAATTTCTTTAGCGCATCCCCCTCAGAGGCAGGACCTGTCAGTTGCTTATCCCATTGGATAGTTCTCTGCCCCTCTTCCTTCCTTCTTTTCCAACAGAGCCCTATTTTGTTCAGGTATGGTGGCATATGCTTAAAGGAGATGGCCTCTCCCCAGCCCCATGGAAACAATCATGATTTGTTTAATCCAAATCATAGTAATTCTATTTTCCTTTGCCAGAGATTGCTTTAGGGGTGTGCATGTGACCCAATCTGGCTGCTGAGAGGGAGTTTTGGAAAGAGATGCAGAGGAGGTGCCCTGCTTTCCCTTCCTGAGTTTGGCTGTTGATATATAAGAAAATAATCTTTTGGACTGCTATAGCCATCTTGTACCTATGAGGGGGAGAGAAGAGACATCACCAATACACTGAGGACAGCAGAGCAAAAAGATGGAAA